TTATTTTTACAAGAAATATTCGAAGCGACTATAAGATACAATTAATAATATTAATATTTTCCTCGTACTAATATTATTTATATTTGAATACTATTAATTATTATTAATATTATTAAAATAACAAGTTCTATTATAAAAAACTGCGTGAAATTAGTTAAACTGCCTTCGTCAGTCAAATGAATTATCGTGACACAAAATTCGCTATAACTTGGAAACAATGTCAAATAAAATATACATCCCACATGTTACGGGACATCTTTATGCAATTTACGATCTATCTATCGCAATCAGAGTACGTGTATGTATACGAAAGGAAATATATACTTAGCACTAACATTACACGAGCATAAATCCCCGTTAAGACAGGATAAGATAACACTCGCAAAAATACGAAGACCGACTGAATAAGGTGTCATAAAACTGTATTACCAATACGATAATTTACTGGGAAAGTCAAAGATATTCGTTTACAGATATTAAGTTATTGCATTATTTAATAACTCAGTAATCCATGGCACCGGATATTTTCATAATTTAGCTATAAGAAGTTAAAATTTAAATCGCTAAATCAAAAACAAAATATTTTCAATGCCCCAAAAAAATTATGAACACATTACGTAACACAACGTATAATATTGTAATTAAAATTTATATAATTTTGTGCTTTAATCATTGCTTAAGCTGATGCAAATGTCAATAAAAATATATTTGTGACCACAGAATATTCTATTAAATAGGTTGCTTGGAATTACTTAAGAATACATAAAGACAACTATATCTTGTTACTAACAAGAATTTTCCTGATATACAAAAAAAAGAAAATATCGAAGACAGATCGTAGAGATTATTAGTATATCCTAAAAAAGTTCAGAGGCGATTAAATAATCGAACCATTCAGTATAAGAATTTATTATGACTGTGTAATGTTGTGTTTAACTTGTAAGAAAATATGATTTCTGATGCTTGAAATAACTTAGGCTATTTTTAAAATGGAAAACACATGTATCAACAGGTAGACTTGACCATGATCGATGTGTATAAAATGTCAGATTTTTATTACGTGCAAATATTTACCTTCGTACTTTGGTTAAATTTTTGCTCATGATATAATTACTTTTACAGCTTATGACAATTTACGTATTTGTTCTTCCAAAATCGCACAACTCATGTGCATAGGCCCTTTGGATTCTATTATCTATCGTACGGATAATATTTTGCAAACAAAATCTTTTTTTAAATCGTTTATTTACGGTTATATTGAACGTTTTATAAGTTTTAAAAGTTCATTTCATAAGAAACTGTATTATGCATCGAAGTCTTAAACACAAGGAAAGAGGAAACCCATACGGCAGTATCCAGTTATTCGAATAATTAAATTTTATTTGTTCGCAACTTTCAATTTCAGATATCAGAGTTCAAAGTCGCCATTACGACGGCATTCAACTACAAAGGGTTAAACCTAACAATAATGCTGCAAATCCACTCGAAATTTAAACCAAATTTTCGAGGAGAACACTATTAACAAGGGAAAAGTGCAACATTGGTTCAAAAAATTTCATATTGAAGTATATTTATAATAATATTCTGAAGTCACTGGTGGAAACGAATCTGCGTTTATCATCAAGCAAAATTAAAATATGGATGAATGTCACTTTTTGATTCAGTAGAGAAAACTTATAAAATTTAAAATTCAATATTAAATTTTGCATATGGTATTAATAGACGAAACAATGAAATAAAATAGTTCTGTCTCTTAACCCTTTTCTTGGGGATCTACGTCGAATCAAACGCTCCTGCTTACGCTGTTTAATTTTGTCGTAACACCGTAGACAAGACTATTTTAAAGAAAATTGAAGTGTTACAGCTTCAATTAAACTTATTTATGAAAATAAGAGACTTATTTTAACACAGCATATTTGTAAAATAACACTGTCTAACAAATTTGAACTTTTTTGTGTTTTGTAATTAGCTGATCCATATAGAACTTCTTCACCTAAATACAAATCCGAAAACCAAATTGCTGGGCCACAAAAAACAAGAATTACTGAAAACTAAAAACGATAAGCAGTTCAGATTTATCGTAAAAGATAGAGGAGAGTTGCCCACATTGTAGCTACAAAAATTTTGAATATTTTTTATCATTAAGTACTTGTAAATGGTGATCAAAGTTTAAAAAAAAGGTAGATGCGCGTAGTTTGTACGCACTTCTGTTACATTTTTACGAAAAATGCGTTGGCTAGCACGAATTCTCTATGTAGCATTGAATTCTGCAGACATTTTTGAAGAATAAAACCTCTGCAAAAAGCCTGAAAACGATTTTCTTTTCGAACAAATTAACAAAATCTCCGTCAAGAGCACGTGCACAGAGTTTTGGCGCCACGAGGCCGTAGCTCGCCGGCTACGGCTCGTCAGGGTTGAGACTACGCGCTGTATAGACCTGGACCCCGGTCAAACCTTATATGTATATATAATGCTTAGTTTTGTTATAAATTTTCATAATAATTATGAAATAGCTTTTCACGATCGTTATGCTTTAAATAATTTGATGTTTAATATGTGAATACTGATTATTTATTATCATTGATACATAATCATTATAAAAATTGTAACAATAGACATAATTTGGTTTCTTCGGATGTTCTTTAGAATATTCAAGTAAGCTTAATTAATTCGTAAAAACATTTCAGATATCTAATACTTTCAAGATATCAATAATCGAAAGATAATAAAACTTATACCGGTCATCTTGACTCATTCGATAGTTCTAGTGTTACTCATCGTAATATTACTCGTATATGTGTATCCACATATTAAACAGCAAATTATTTAAAACAGAACGATCGTGAAAAGCTTGTGCATGATAATTATGAAAATTTATAAAACAATTAAACATTATATGTACATATAAGGTGTGAACAGGGTGCAGGTCTATACAGCGCGTAGTCACAGCCCTGACGAGCCGTGACCGCTGGGCTACGGTCTTGTGGTGCCAAAACTCTGTGCACGTGCTCTTGACGGAGATTTTCTTAGTCTGTCCGAAAAGAAAACCGTTTTCAGGCTTTTTGCAGAGGTTTTACTCTTCAAAAATGTCTACAGAATTAAATGCTACATAGAGAATTTGTGCTAGCCAACGCATTTTTTGTAAAAATGTAACGGAAGTGCGTACAAACTACGCGTATCTACCCTTTTTTAAACTTTGATCATCATTTACAAGTACTTAATGATAAAAAATATTCAAAATTTTTGTAGCTACGTATTCGGACAACTCTCCTCTATTTTTAGGACAAATTCGAACTGCTTACTTAATTTTCACGTAACACTTGTTTCTTTAAAAAATTCGACCGTTCTTATAAAAACTCACGTTTTTCGAAAACTAAGAGTGACCCAGCAATTTGATTTTCGGATTCATATTTAGGGCAAGGAACTCTATGAGGATCGCCTAGTGACTATTACAAAACAAAAATCGTGTTGGACAATGTAATTTGCGAAATTCATTTTCGCACTGAGAGCATTTCGCACAACAGTCACTTCGATTCAAGGGATTAATTTATATAAAAATTTGTCTCGTGCTAGTTGCGAAAACAATCGTAGATATTTCAGCAGAAAATAATGAACATTTATAATGAAAAATATTGTCGAATGGAAAGAATTGAACAAACGAAATAAGCTGGATTAACCGAATGTTTGTTCGTCGCTACTAACCCGATCATCCCCCAAAGAACCATTATTTAATCGAATCATTACTTACGATGAGAAATGGGTCATTCATCATTTTTTATGACAATCGGAAGAGATCAGCTCAATGGCTCGATAAAAGCGAGACACCTGACCATAACTTATCGACTCTTTGGTAGAACGTGAATAGAGTAATTCATTATTCATTTTTAAAAAATAGGGATACTATCATAACCGAGAAATATTGCCAACGGATTGATGAAATGCATGCAAAATTTAAACATTCTGCAGCTATCGCTCATTGGTCGACACGAGCCTATAATTCATCATAATAACGCTTCACCGGATATTATGCACCTCACTGTCAGAGAAGAATGCTAGAGACCACAGATCGGCAAGTGTTTTTCGCTGTGTATTTTGTTTGTAGTTATCATTGGTTACCTATAACCTTATTAATGAATAGCACATCAGCATCGAGAATACAACCGGGACAGATGAAAACAGAGTAAATAAATCCGCATTCCTTTAGCCAGCATTGTTGAAAAACAATGGCAAAATTGAATGCATTAAAGTACAAAATTGTGCAACATCTGGCATACTCATCCAACTTGTCTCCAAACCGATTTTCATCCTTTTAAACACCTCGAATTCTTTTTACGCAATAAATACTTCGAAAATGAAGACAATTTTAATACTATAATATAATAAGCAAATAATAAGAATGAAAGTAAATAATGAATTAGGGCATCATACAGGTTAACCAATTTTAACCCTTTACACTCGAGAAGTGACTCTCACTCACCACTTGATTTTATAGCAAAACTATAAAGTTTGATATTTAATATTATACTCCGTACAATGCATCAATTTGAGAAATATTGAAATCGAAATCGAAATCAGTTAATTTGTAAACATAATTATTTCCAGAACTATTTGTTATTTAAAAAATGTTTCAAATGCAATATTTTCTGTTATGATGACCTTTTACATAGATAGATTGATAGTTTTTTAGAAAATGACCTGCTGCATCGATTGATGCAAAATAATTACGTGATTATACTTGAAAAAACAGTAGTGACATTCATATTTCCTACACACGTCTACATAGAGATAAACTGTGCAAGTACACTAAATTGCTGACCGCTCTAGGCAGAAAAATTTGAATTTAAGAAATTTTTTAAATAAACAAACAGTTCCTCAGAGAACTGCATTTACAAATTAAAATGGGACACCCTATATAACATGTGGTCTCTCGAGTTACGTGCGCTGTATTCGATATCTAGAAATATTTTTTAACGTGCTCCTATGCCTGCGATAAACTCGTTCTTAGAAATCATTTGTTTTGTCAGCAGAGAGACTCGCATTCACGTCTTTGCCGCAGTGAGGCATATATATACATACGCAAACTTCAGGTATAACATTACTCTTGTTTCCTATAAACACAATTCGATTTTGCTAGACGAAGAATAAGAGAAACATCCAACATGGATGTGAATATTTGACAAAGTGTGTGTTTAAAATGTGAACTGATAAAAAGGAATTACATTAATGTGAACATTATTAGAAGAAAAAAATGAATTCAATAATCCATGAACAAGTGCATTTCTGCGTGCATTGAATCTTATGCAGATTATTTAAAATATTTACCTTCGTAGAATCAGGTCAGTCCACCAGTTCATTTGCATTTGAGTCACATGCATGGTTCACCTTGACCTTCCACCGTTCACTACTACACTTTCAATTAAGTAATATCCTGCCCTAACCCTTTGCACTCAACAATATTTTTCATTACAGACATTCATTGTTTTCTGACGAAAAATTAACAATATTACTTGCAACTTACATACAGAAACATCTTGCATAAATTATGGGGCAGAGTTGTTTCATTTCTATGTTCCATGTGTTAATACCTTATTCAACGTTTTATATTGAATTTTTCACTTGATAATTTTGTTGCGCTCAATCAAATTTGTGCAAAGGGTTAACCGTTTAACTTCAAGACATTTCAGCTCAGAGTTATAGGATTATGCGCCACTGTATTTGTGTGTGTGTTACTGTTACACCAGTTTAGTAAAACGGCAAATGAATCATCGTAAACAAACTTTATTGGCTGTAAGTACTATATGCCTTCCCCATATATTGACGCATCTGTGAGAGCGTAAAAGCGTATATACACCTATATGCACCTATATACGCTATGTATGTGTGCATGCGTGCGTGCGTGTGTGTGTAAAATAATCAGTTTTGTTCCATTTTATTAGAAGTTAGTTTTTCATTTTTTTAAGGATGGCATAGTAGCCAAAAAAATCCGAAAAAATTTTAGAATATCTGTCATAATAATATGTCTACTACTGCATAAATTAAAAAGTTGTTATGTTACAGTTTCCTATTTTTGGGAGGTTTTTCATTTTTCATGCTAAGAATTTGGAACGGAAAAATCTCAAAAAATTCAGTCATGATCTGCTATGCCAAAAATGTCTCTGAATTTTTTCACAATTTTTACGTATCACTGAATAGGGAAAATGGAACAAAAACTTTGACAATTCAAATTTACTCTATAACTATCTTCTGGTTGTGATAGAGGGCTGAAAATTGGTGTACCATGTTTTCTATGGATAAGCTACCGAAGGAAATTTTTTCGATAAAAATCGATTTAAGAGCACTTTTGACCCCCTTATCCTGCTACACTCTTTCAAAACTTAGGGCTACAGCATTGAATGAAGGGGAGCCTTTTGCTGCCTGAAGTGACTCAAGCACAATCTGACAAATCGATAAAATTAGACCAATTTACGTCGTGTTTGGGCTAATTTTAATCAAAAGAACCACAGTAAACCACTGGCACGACGTTTGCAAAGGTAAGACTGAAATTATTAAAATTCAAATTTTCATTATTGTACGACTGCTGTTTACGTTCGTGGCACCGTATTGAAATCTGTCTGTTTCCTTTTCACTCAGTGTATTCATTTTCTGTCCCTGCCTACTGGGATCATGTTACACTGAGTTCGAGACAGTGAGTAGTGGAGAAGAGTAAGGATTGTTTGTTAAAATTTTACCATGGAAATTTCTTTAACCCTTTGCACTCGAGAGGCGACTGCTACTCGCCATTCGATTCAACACAATAAAATTGTAAAATTTAAAATTCAATATTAAATTTTGTGTAAAGTATCGACACGTGAAACATAAAAATAAAATAGTTCTGTCTCTTAATCTATGCAAGATTTTTCTTTACGCTAATTACAAATAATGTTATCGATATTTCATTAGGAAATAACGACTATAAAAGTTGCGACAAGCAGTATTGTAGTAACAATTTTATTGTTTTATGGATTCGTTTGGTATGAATAGTATATCTACTAACCAGAAAGCTTTACGGATAATTATTAAACGATATTTGCCGAGAAAATGAGGTTAAAATATAATAAATAATTTTTATTATATTTTAGAAAAATTGCTTTTAGAAAAAATAATTACTAGTTTTCATTACGGTTGTAATAATATAAAAGAATTCTTTCCTTCCGTTGATTATATGCGACATTCAAACTTTTATCTTTAATCACTTTCTTCCGCTGAACACGGATTTATTATTATCTTTCACAAGATCTTCGGAATTATTATCTTATTAATAAATCGTTGTGCGAAGATATTAAGACTAAAAAATGATGAGTAATATAGACCATAAGCATGGGCAAATAACTATTACTTTGTAATTTCATTTGTTTTTGTCTATTATACAACAAAAATAAATTATACCTGAAAATATTTAAAAATCGTTACAAGATAAAAGATATGAAGTATTTAACATTATCGGTATGATGGATTAAGGTAGATTAACGTTATAATCTTCAGAATATTAACGCGTGTAATGCTAATACTGTAAGCAATTTGAAATATATATTACAATATTAATATATTTGATGTATAACAATATTAAATAAATGAATAAATAAATATATAAAGAAAGAAATAATAAACTCAAATTCATATCCTAAAAATCAACGTACACTCTGTAACTTGATGTGAAACTTATCGTTTGGCAGTTAAGCTGACTCAATACAAATGTATTCGCGAAGGGGAATATGAATAAATGTTTAAGCGACTGCGAAGATAAATTGTATATACGTGTAATGTAAACGAACGAGAATACGAATATACCCCATGCATTCGCATTACATATATGTTCTTTTTCAAAATAGCGTACATTCAACAACGTTCGTAACAAAAATTTACTGCGAAGAAGTCCTACCCTTATACGAAAACAACTTGTCATGTTACTTCTCCTTATACATATAAGATGGGAACAAAGAGATAGAATTCTCTGAAGACGCAAATCACATTGACATATTAATCAAATTTTAAATGTAACATGTGTATTATAATTAGAAAAATCGTGACTCACAGCCCAAAAGGTCACTGTGCTTCTTCAATTTTAAAGAACAATCATTGTAAACACACTCACCGTAGGATAATCCCACGTTCAAGCCGACAAGCAGTAGCAAAGTGGTAGCACAAAACATTTTGAAAGATTTGAAAAATTCGGTTAGAGTTTATAAAACTTTAGTTTAAAACTTTACTATAATAAGAATAATTGTTCTTTCTGTAGCGACTAACTAAAAGGCACAATAATTATTCAACGCCCGAAGGTCCCAAGTTCGCACGAACAGGATGCTGCAACTTGTAGACTGTTTAATGTTTTCTTAAATACGAGTATGACTCAAAAGAGGTCGGACTTGTCGCTTTCGACTGCCGCGGCATCTTGTGGATCAACTGTATCACTAGAGTACTACGATTGATTCATAATTATTGCATCCTAATACCGATCAATATTGAATTTCTTTGTATAGAAATATTCATTTATTCCGTTTTGTTCCATTTTCCTTATTATATACTTATAGAAAATAAATTTACTTTTATCATCAAATCACATTTTAATTAATAACGATAAAACTTATTTAACGTTATCCAATCATTGTTTAAACTAAATGTTTCTGTATAATCAAAAATTTAGAAGAACCATTGCATTTTTGGTAAATGATTATTCTAGTAATATCAAGTCCTTTTTTTGTACTTCCTTAAATCGAAGTTGTAGATTATTGTCACTTACAACTTAATTAATTAGTAACTTCATGAAAACGCTATCACGTTTCTTCAGTAGAAAATCAAAATCTATCTTCAAAACTTATTTTAACATAATAAAAAAAAGTAGTGATAAAATTATTTGTTATTTAAAAAGAATTTCTTATAAAATATGATACTATTTTCAATGTAAAAAATCAATGTAATCAACGCAAAAAATGTTGGTGTAGTAAGGTGTTCGCGCGCGCGCGCGCGTGGTGTGTGTGTGTGTGTGTGTGTGTATTTGCACTATACTTAACCGGTTTATAGAAATGTAAATAATATGAATAAATTCATTATAGTAAATATATTCCAGGAATGATACGTGAAAAAATAGAACATAATTTGTCAAAGGCATTGTAGTTGTCTTTCATACTCATATTGTTTCTGTTTTTGCAAAATACAAAATAATTAATATCTTTAAAATAAGCACTCGTTCTTAAAGAATGTTTTCTAATAAAAAGTATCACAAATGTATGTAACTTCAAGCCGGTGTTATCATTTGTTTACAGATAATATCTCTATCACTGTTTGGTAAGCTATTGAATAAAAGAAAAACCAAATACTGTATGCAAAAAAGTGACAATTTCCGTATTTATGTACATAATTTGTATGAAATATATATTGGGTATAGTGTATGTAATATATATTCGAATTTATAAGTTCTCTATAAGAAATATAAGGAATATTTCTACATTAACATAGGTACGTATTTAAATTTCGATATAACCTGTGCGATAATAGAGTCCTCAAGTGACAGAAAATCAGTACTATTTGCTTTATAGTTTGGACTTTTAGCACCAGATGGTATTACGATAACTTATAGCACTTATTTAAAAAAATATGAATTGGAAACCGTAAGGAAAACGATTCGGAACGTGGTACATTTGTAAAAGTATGTGCATGTACATATGCATATACTTTTTTATAAATGTACTAAAATTAATATAAATACTTTACAAACAATTTATATTATGTTGTTTATGTACAAATTTATGTTTTGTTAATAAGCATATTAGTTACATATGTTAATAAAAGCTTCAACAATGGGAAGGCAGAAATTTAGAAACATTATAAATCAACTACACAATTAATTAGTACTAAATAACTATTTAGCATGATGATATGTTTTCTCTGATCAAATCTCCTACAATAAAACCCATTTCCTTGTCAAATTTTAAAACAAAACTATGGAGGTAACCGTGCTTACAAAGTTCCGCATTCATGTTGGGATGTGTTGCTTTCATATTCCTATAATATTTAACTGGTGTCCAACCATCACAATTCCCATAATAAAACCATAGCTTATCAGCGTGCTGTGAAAGCACAGTGTCATCTCGTCCCTTTACAGTTTGCATTTCTTCCTTTGCCAATTTAACTACATTCCACAAACTACGAGGGTTTATAAGTAATTGTACCGCTTTGTTGTACTTTTTAGGAACACCATAAATGGGTGCAAAAATAGTAATCAGAAAATGTTGCAGAAACAATGGTAAACACGAAAAAACCCAAGTAACAAAAAGTATGAAAGATGAAATAGGTGATACCTAGAAATTAAATAATTAATCTTTTTTGCCTTATGCTATATGTATCACAACATTATTACACCAAAAAAACTTACAAATCTAGTGAAGAATTTACCATTAGGAGTGCTAGACATATATTCTATAGTAGGAAACAATAAATAACATTTTTTAATTTTGTTAGATATAGACTCATCCTTTAACATTTGTAATATCATCCAACACCCTATAGAATGACCAATGAGATGTAAATTGGTATCGTCTGGTACATATTTGTTTATGAAATTTTTCTGTAATCAAATTAGTGTATTATGAAAAATTTTTCTAAAGAGTATCCAATAACTAAGATTTACCTTATGTTCCACTTGTGCTATTAAGCTATAATTTATATTCCAAGTTGAATCACTTGGCATAGTGTATGACAAATTATTTGGTGGTTGTACATGTCCAGAGTGTCCAACTGCCCAAATAGGTATTTCAGAAGGCAATTTCGTTTTCAGCGATTTCATGAATCCCTCGTAGAAATCTGGAACTCCAGGGTTACCTGGTATAATAAGCACTATATCTTTTTTACCATGTTGTAAAATATCTTCCTCTATCCATTGGCCTTCTGCAATTACTCGGGTAGGCACACCATCCCATGCTGGCATAGCACATTGCATGTTTATTCCTTCCATAGCAAACTACTTAAAACAATTAAAACAAATTGTTCAAATAATAAAACATTCAACATAAGTATGCATTTTTTCCCGTTTATTATTTTAAATTTTAATATTAAAATACATGGTATAATTACACATTAGATTTAAAGAGCTTGATGTAAAGCAATTGAAACAACATATTCATTGGTATTCCAATGACTATACAATTTACTACAGATATTTACGAATTGTACTTCAATTGAGCATACTTCACAATCAACTTACAAATTTAATAAATATATACGAAAGAATAAATTATTGGCGAAACAGGTATTTATCTTCACGAAACATTCCCATAGGCTGCCAAATGGAAATGTGTACTGTTCAATAGTGGTAGAGGAATATCAATAGTTGCTGCTTTCGAAATCTATCGATGCTGTTTTTTGAAGTTATCGATACTTTCGATATTTTTGTTGTGCGATTGTAATATTGTAAATATATTTCACTAGATGTTGCAAACACTGAAAATTTATATTAAAATTTGTATTGTAATTGTAAAATTTATTTATTTAAATTAGTATTAAGGTTATATTAAATTTATACTATGAATTTATATTATTACAATTAAATCTGTATATGCTGTATTAAATTTATATTATAAAAATTACGAAGTATTGAATTAACAATAACAGTATGTATATATATGTGATATGTGATATATCTTTCTCTTAATCCTATTGTAGAATGTAATAGCAAGAATGAAATAAAGTATTTTAACCGATTAGATGAAATGTTAACTAATATGAATTTTATACTTAGTTGATGAAATAACAGATATCTAACAATATGAAATTATTAAAAAAGAACAGTATTCAAAGATTAGCCAACCATGTTATATCTAAGACGCAGTACAAATTTAATGATGATACCATAAATTTAATTAACCACATAATAAAATTTAACTCTTCAGTTAATAATTCATTATAAAACATAAAAGAATCCATTGATTTCAAGTTTACAAATTAGATCAAATAGCAACTGAAGTTTTAGTCCACTCGTATGATTAACAAATTATCCTATTTAGAAAAGACTATTGCCTATAAATGTTCATCTCAAAGGAAAAAGGAATTTTATCGAACATTGGATACAATGATTAAACTTGAATTCCAACAATTTAAATATATTAAAACTTATTCATCTTCTTGATCTTAAATATAATCGAAGGTTTAAAAAAAGAAAAGGAACAAATGCAATTCTCAATTGAAGGGGATGTTTTAAATTAAAAGAAACATAATAACTGCTATTAGAAGGTCTTCAATGATGAAATGTTAGTAATAAAGTAAGTAGTGTTATAATAAACAATGTTTTAAATCAAAATGTATAGAATGTTGAAGTAAAAATATTTTTCATGTAGTTTATATATTTGAAATTTAATAACAGAAGATAAACTAAAGAAAGATTGCATGAAAAATATTTGAAATACTTGTAAAAAAGTTATGAGATTCATTAACATATAGACTCAATGGAAACATTTGAACTAAAGGTTGCACAGACTGTTTTCATGAGATAATAATGTTGAGGTTGCAATACGTAACACTCTCACTAGTCCCAATTTTGGATTGAAAAAATAGGAAGAAACATATGCTTTCTGTAATAAAGATATGAAGTTGAAGTTGAAGATAATGTTGAAGTGAATAAATGAATATTTATTATCAATATATTACTGTTTAAAGAAGATAATTTTCAGAGAGAAATAATCCATTTATGTATATTTTATAAGGTTTAGAAACTTTTAAATATTTATTTTATTTTGATAATAACTATTAGAGTATTTATAAGTAAATAAACACCTGAATTCTTCATTGGAATTATATAACAAATATTTATGTATACCTACAACTTCACTTAAATGTAAAAGAACTTTCAGTACAACACATACGTGATCAACAATTAAAAAACCAGTTATTTCTCTTCTAAATTATATTCCTATCAATTTTTACAATTTGTTTCTTCCTTATAAATGTACAAGAAATCAAATTTATTTGTAGTTTAAGTTAAATTAGCAAAAATAATAATTCCCTACCTTTTTTAAAAAATTCCTTAAATACGTACTTAATAATACAGTCATTAAGGTGAGATTTGACTGAATCCCAAAGATAGTTTTATCTGAATAAATTTTGTAGACTTTGGACTGTGGAATATCGATAATTATCGATACCTAACTAAAGTTTACGATTATCGATATTTCTGCATTACTATTGCTTGTACTTAAGTGTTTTGAATGTCTCATGTTAATGCAAAGAATTGTGTTATGGCTAGGTACATATGTTATAATTTTTGACGAAATTTGTAAATTTAACTATAAACACAATTTACGTTTAAATATCAGTATATAAAATGCATAAATTAAAAACTTTCGTTTTATATTGAAATAGCTCAGTTGTAAAGATGTTACCCTGGG